GATTCAAAAGGCTAAAGCAGTCAAAACTGAAGTACCCATCATGACTGTTAATAACTTGCAAAAGTTCATAGAATCATAGAATATCCTGAGTTGGAAGGGACCCTTAAGGATCATCAAGTCCAACTCTTGACACCGCACAGGTCTACCCAAAAGTTCAGACCATGTGACTAAGTGCACAGTCCAATCTCTTCTTAAATTCAGACAGGCTCGGTGCAGTGACCACTTCCCTGGGGAGCCTGTTCCAGTGTGCAACCACCCTCTCTGTGAAGAACCCCCTCCTGAGTCAAGCCTAAATTTCCCCTGCCTCAGCTTAACCCCGTTCCCGCGGGTCTTGTCACTGGTGTTAATGGAGAAAAGGTCTCCTGCCTCTCGACACCCCCTTACGAGGAAGTTGTAGACTGCGATGAGGTCTCCCCTCAGCCTCGTCTTCTCCAGGCTGAACAGGCCCAGTGCCCTCAGCCGTTCCTCGTATGTCTTCCCCTCCAGGCCTTTCACCATCTTTGTAGCCCTCCTCTGGACACTCTCCAACAGTTTCATGTCCTTTTTATACTGTGGTGCCCAGAACTGCACACAGTACTCGAGGTGAGGCCGCACCAGCGCAGAGTAGAGCGGGACAATCACCTCCCTCGACCTACAAGCGATGCCGTGCTTGATGCACCCCAGGACACGGTTGGCCCTCCTGGCTGCCAGGGCACACTGCCGGCTCATATTCAACTTGCTGTCTACCACGACCCCCAGATCCCTCTCTTCTAGGCTGCTCTCCAGCGTCTCATCGCCCAGTCTGTACGTGCAGCCAGGGTTTCCCCGTCCCAGGTGCAGGACCCAGGCACTTGCTCTTATTGAGCTTCATGCGGTATGGTGATCGCCCAGCTCTCCAACCTATCCAGATCCCTCTGCAAGGCCTTTCCACCCTCATTCGAGTCCACAACTCCTCCAAGTTTGGTGTCATCAGCAAACTTGCTCAAAATGCCTTCTATTCCTACATCCAGATCGCTTATAAAAATATTGAAAAGTACCGGCCCTAAAATGGAGCCTTAAGGGACCCCACTGGTGACCGCCCGCCAGCCTGACGCAGCCCCATTCACCATAACCCGTTGGGCCCTGCCCGTTAGCCAATTGCTCACCCATCGTATGATGTTTTTATTTAGCTGTATGGTGGACATTTTGTCCAGTAGGATCCTATGGGAAACCGTGTCAAAAGCCTTGCTGAAGTCCAAAAAAATCACATCAGCTGGTTTCCCTTGGTCCACCATATGGGTGATCTTATCACTAAAAGGAAATCAGTTTAATTAGGCAGGACCTACCCTTCACAAACCCATGCTGGCTGGGACCAATGACTGCTTTGTCCCCCAGGTGCGCCTCAATAAGTTCGAGAACCATCTTCTCCATGATTTTACCAGGCACTGACGTGAGACTGACAGGCCTGTAATTGCTAGGGTCTTCTTCCTGACCCTTCTTGAAAATCGGCACTACATTTGCCAGCTTCCAGCCTACCGGGACCTCTCCAGATTCCCAGGATCGTTGAAAAATAATTGAGAGAGGTTCCGCGATGACGTCCGCCAGCTCCTTCAGCACCCGGGGATGAATCCCATCCGGACCCATGGACTTGTAGGGATCCAGGTGGAGTAGCAAATCCCGCATGCGTTCAGGGTCGGTTGGGAGTTTGTCATCCCCACCGTCCCGGTCCTCCAGCTCAGGGCACCCTGGGTCCCGAAGCCCACCTTCGGCATTGAAGACAGAGGCAAAGAAGGCGTTAAGCGTCTCTGCTTTGCCTATGTCATTGTCTGTGAGGAGACCTTCCCTATCAAGGAGCGGCCCTATGTGTTCTTTAGTTCTCCTTTTTCCATTCACATATCTAAAAAAACCCTTTTTATTTTCTCTCACAGACACAGCCAGCTTCAACTCTAGGTGTGCTTTAGCCACACGAATTTTCTCCCTACAAACATGAACAGCATCCCTGTATTCTTTCCATGACACCCGGCCCTCCTTCCAGTAGCGAAACACTCTGTTTCCGCCTAATCTCCATCAGAATGTTCCTGGTCAGCCACGCCGGCCTCCTGCCCCGCCTGCCTGACTTGCGATATTTAGAAATTGCCTGATCTTGTGCTTCTAGGAGGCATCGCTTAAAGAATGACCAGCACTGGTGGACATCGAGGACTTCAAGAGCAGCTTCCCAGGGGACCTTGCTGACTAGTTCCCTGAGCAGCCTGAAGTCCGCTTTCCCCATATCTAGGGATGAGGTTTTGGTGGCACTTGTCCTTCTGTCACTGTAAATTTTGAACTCAACCACTTCATGGTCGCTATGACCGAGGCGGCCACCAATCACCACATCTCCCACCAGACCCTCTCTGTTTTCTAGCAACAGGTCTAGGAGGGCACCTTTCCTAGTTGGCTCCGTTAGCACCTGCACCAAGAATCACAGAATCACAGAATCTCTAGGTTGGAAGAGACCTCAAGATCATCGAGTCCAACCTCTGACCTAACACTAACAGTCCCCACTAAACCATATCCCTAAGCTAAACGTCTTTTGAAGACTTCCAGGGATGGTGACTCCACCACCTCCCTGGGCAGCCCGTTCCAGTGCCTAACAACCCTTTCAGTAAAGAAATTCTTCCTAACATCTAACCTAAAACTCCCCTGGCGCAACTTCAGCCCATTCCCCCTCGTCCTGTCACCAGGCACTTGGGAGAACAGGCCAACCCCCACCTCTCTACAGCCTCCTTTAATGTACTTATACAGAGCAATAAGGTCACCCCTGAGCCTCCTCTTCTCTAGGCTGAACAAGCCCAGCTCCTTCAGCCGCTCCTTATAGGACTTGCTCTCCAGGCCCCTCACCAGCTTCGTCGCCCTTCTTTGGACCCGCTCAAGCACCTCGATGTCCTTCTTGTAGCGAGGGGCCCAAAACTGAACACAGTACTCGAGGTGCGGCCTCACCAGAGCCGAGTACAGGGGGACGATCACCTCCCTCGCCCTGCTGGTCACAGTGTTTCTGATACAAAGAAGTTATCGTCTAGGTGCTTCATGAACCTCCTGGACTTGCTCGTGTCAGCCGTGTGGCACTCCCAGTTAACGTCTGGCAGGTTGAAGTCCCCCATAAGGACAAGGGGAGTTAATCTCGAGGCCTCTCTTAGTTCTGTAAAGAATAAGTTATCGGCGCTATCGTCCTGGCCAGGCGGTCTGTAATAGACTCCCACAACGACATCCCCTTTATTCGTTCATCCCTTGATCCTTACCCAGAGGCTCTCAACTTTGCCATCGCCAACCTGAAGTTCCACACAGTCCAGCCCCTGCTTCACATACATCGCCACCCCACCACCTCGCCTACCCTGCCTGTTCCTCCTGAAGAGCCTGTAACCATCTATCACAACACCCCAGTCACAGGATTCGTCCCCCCAGGTTTCGCTTATGCCGATGATGTCGTAGTTGCGGGACTGGGCCAGTACTTCTAGCTCATCCATTTTATTCCTCATACTGCGTGCATTCGTGTAGAAGCATTTCAGGTGCGTCTCCTTACACTCAGCACCTTGTGGATCTAACCGAAGGACCTCACGGGCACACAGCCCCTCTGATTCTAGCGTACCATCCCTTAGGTCTTCACCGGCGTGCCTGGTTTTAGCCCCTTCCCCCTTCGACTCTAGTTTAAAGCCCTATCTATCAGCCCTGCCAACTCCTGACCAAAGATCCTTACCCCTCTCCGAGAGAGGCGCATCCCATCTGGTGCCATCAGGCCCGGTGTAGCATAGACCTTCCCGTGATCAAAGAACCCAAAGTTCTGCCGGTCACACCAGTCTCGAAGCCACGAGTTTATGTGAACAGCACACCTTTCAGCTTCGATCCCCCCTATCGGAAGGACAGAGGCAAACACAACCTGTGCCCCTGATCCTCTAAGTAGTCGCCCCAAATCCCTAAAGTCTCTTTTGATCGCCTTCGGACTTCTTGTTGCTATTTCATCGCTACCAGCCTGAAAGACCAGTAGCGGGTAGTAGTCAGTGGGCTGTACCAGGCGCTTGACTTTCTTGGCAAAGTCTCTCACCTGAGCCCCAGGGAGGCAGCAGACTTCCCTACGGCTAGGGTCAGGCCAAAAAATAGGGCCCTCTGTTCCCCTAAGGATGGAGTCTCCCACAACAATCACCCTCCTGTCTTTCTTGATGGAGGCAGTCCTGAGGCGTGGAGTCGACCTCCTCGCCCTAGGCATCCTCCTGGGTACACTTTCTACCTTTTCCTCAGCTACCAGTCTCTCAAGCTCCAGGGCCTCAAACCTGTTTCGTAAGGGCACCCGGGAAGGTGGGGTCAGAAGGGGAGGGCATCGCCTGCCATGTCGAGCAGGGACCTGTCTCCATTCCTCCTCAACTCCCAGATCCCCTCCCTCTGCCTGACGGCGACAGGGCAGGGGGTCCACCCCCATTTGGGGTGTCTCACCTCGATACCTCTCCTTGAGGCCCTGCAGGGAGTTACTCCACACGTCTATCTCCCGCTCACACTCCCTGATGGCCCTCAACCTCTCCACCTCCTCCTTAAGCTCCGCCACCATGCAGATCAGGTCATCCAGCTGCTCACACCTCACGCACACAGTGTCTCTGCCTCACTCCCTGCATCCGGTGACCTGAACTGCTGCATTCTTTAACGGGCAGTTGGTCTGGGTGTGTACTGACCTCCTGGAGAGCCCACTGTGCCTGGTGGAGACCATTATTGCCTAGCTAATGGCTGTCGTGAAGAGGTGTTCGTGTGGGCAGGGGGTTGCTCTCCACCCTGCCTGCACAAACTGACACACCACACCCTGGTCACTCGTGCTCCCTAGGGGCTGCTTTTGAACGGCCAGGGATGAGGCGCTGCTGGCTCCGCCTTCGCCTCGTCAGCCTCCCTCACGAGGGCTGCCGGGTCCCGGCGGCTCCCTGAAGTTGGCTCGATGCCGGAAAAATTAGCCCTGCCTGGCCCGATCCCCCGCTCCGCTGCAGAACGCGTCTGCCCCAGAGCCGATCGCCTCGGCAAATGGCTCATAAATCATATGGGTCCTGTGTCCTCAGCTCCCAACCTTTATCACTTTAGTTGTGTATAATGCTAAAGCAATGAAATATTGCAAGAATTAGGAAAGTACCGTGAGGTTTTATGGTGACACTTGCCAAAATATCCCGGGAAGTGAACTTTGCCTTGAAGCGGTGTGATGGGATATTAAGCCCATTTCTGTGTTACGAAGTTACATACAAGCCCATTCCTTTTCACGAGGTAAAAGCAAACACAGAGCCCTGGAAGTCATTGGCAGGGACTGTCACTAAAGGGACAGGGAGAAACAGTCAGCTCGAAGAATTTAATGAGCCACGGTGATTTGGTGGTGGCTTAAAAGTGAAGCCGAGCCTCAGCTGTTCTCTCTAGTGTCATCCTGAACTGACACTTTGATTTTTCGTTTAGAGCTGAAATGATTCTCACCGAGTGTCCTCCCCAGCTGATCCTGAGCAGCTGCGGGCACTTGGGCAGTGGGAACACCCTTGCTGCAGGGAGGAGGCCAGCACAGCTGCATGCAGACAGCTGTCAGCATTGGGTGGCTCTCATCACTTGGTGGAGATGGAGGTGCCTTCCACAAACCGTCCCAGCACTTCATGTTGCAACACGTGCCTCCAGCCACCCTGCCTGTCTCCCTGTGAACTATTCATGAAAATAAAATGCAGGTCTGTGGGAATACTGGCTAGCTCAGATGAGGAATTTTCCTGTGCTCCCAGTAGTGTGCTATCACAGCCTTTCTCTGTTGGCCACACCAGGTGATGTGGGTTTCAATGTAAGACAGCTGTTTGAAGGCCCTGAGTGGTGCAGAGCCCCTTTATTTTCACTGTACACAGGTTTTACTGATAATGAGAGTTCCAACATAAGGATGGAAAATGAGGGTAGCATGGAGAAAGAGCCTTTTAGGTGGGAGCTGTGAGCCATACTAGGGGTACCTGGGTATCCGCAGTAGTGATGGAAAACTGAGTAAGTGCTTGGAATTATTCCATTCCCTGGGGGATTAATGGTTCTGGGGCGATGTCCTTGATGCTGCTCCCTTGTCTTATCCACCTAAACATTTTTTCCCCCTTTGTGAGGCAGCAGAGCTTTCTTTTCACATGCACTCCTTGGTGGCCTGGAGTTGTAGGGCTCAGCCATACTCAGAGACATGTTTAGATGGGATTTGGTAACACACTTTCCCTGCTCTTTTTAAAATGTTTTTCTTGGGGAGCTGGGGTATAAAGGGAGAGGGTATGAAAAAAGCAGGGGGAGGGAGGAGTATGAATGGTTTCTTGCAGTGCTGTTAAACTCTAGTGCTGTGTCACAGTGGTACTTGGAAATGGGACGGCGATGCTGACTAGAAACAGAAAATGAGTTGTGGGAGCTGGCAGAAATGAAAAATATTAGCAAATAATTTAATGTGAAAGGTTTCCAAAATGTCTAAAATTGATTTCAGTCTTTGTACGGAAAGATTTTGAAGAGGGGAGCAATGTAACCCCCTGCCTTCGTGCCATACTTGACTCTGTTGTTATTCACAAGGAAACACAGTCTGTGGCAAAGCCCAGGATTGGAAATTTCTGAAATGAGGTTTTTCACACCGTTGGGATGAGTTAAATGGACAAAAAGACAATGGCTCTGTGAGTCAGGCCCTTCCAATTTCAGAATCGGGCCCTGTTAAGTATAAGCACGCAGCGAGGGTATTTTTTTATTCTTTCCACTCATCAGTGTTGAGATGTTTGTGCTAAATAAAAGTGGCAGGAAAATGTTCCATGCTGGCAGTCCACTAGCAGTGCTGTAATGAACGTGGGTTGGCTGAATATCAGGGCTCTGTTCGGACCTGACGTGTGCTGGTACGGAGTGGTTTCAGCAGCAGGCAACTGCTGCCTGCTTCGTGCAGCAAGAACGCAATGTAACCACAGCCCCAAACTCCACAGAGCAGATCCTGGGGTTGGTAATTACCTTGCTACGTTCTGTGATGAATGATTTGCATCTGTGGGATTATCGGTCATGAGCTTGGCAAGAAAGCTGTTTATTTTTATGAAACGTTTTATAATTCCAGCTCCGAGAATGGCATGGTACATTAGTGTTGGTACATCAGCTAAATGTGCACGCAGCGTCGTAAGATGATTCAAGCAAACAACTGGGAGCATTATTGTGTGCTCTGGAATTTACCACAGCGTGGCCACAGCACGATTTGCTTGGCAGCCTTCTCTTACAGCTTATTGTTGTCGTTTTTATAGGGCCAGTGGTCTATTTTCCATGGAGTCAGCTCAGTAGCAAGATGTATTCCACGAATGAAGTGTGTGACCCTTAATATTAACAGTAAAAATAACCAGCTCCGAAGTCATTATGAGTTCTTAGCAAAGAAATGTGGAAGACAGGCAGAACTTCCTTGGCTTCAGAACACAAAGAATACCCTTGTTTCCCCTAAGTAATTTTATTAACTTAAATTGTTTGTTTTTCCAAACTCACTGAAGTGCTCATTCTGGATTTCAGCTTTTCTTTTCTGGAAAGGTACAGCCCTGATTAGGGGATCTGAGGCCTTTCTCTGAGGAAGGAGGCTGGTCTCTGCAGGCAGTGTCCTGTTGCTTAAGCTCTTTCTGAAGCTATCAAGTACTTTTGAGTTAACTTCTCTTGCCAGAGCGCTCTATATTGTTCACAGCCTGCTGACTTAACTCTTCCTTTCTACCTCACTGGATGTAACATGAGTGCTGCTGTGCTGTCTGTCAGCTGGATCAAAGCGCTGATCCATGAACATCCAAGCAAACCCCATCCCTGAAATCCCCAGGTTTTCTTTGAGCTGGATCAGTTCCTCAATCCAACCAAACACCTGAGCACGAGTACCAGAAGCTGGAGTAGTGAGATTCAAGGAGTGAGTTGGAGTGGGAGCTGGAGTGATCTGTGGTTAGTTGGGTTAAGGCAGCAGTGAGACCTGCAGGTGGCTGTGGTGAGCTCTGCCAGCTCCCTGTGCCATGTCTGGGCTCTGTTCTAATGACTCCGTTCTCTTGTCCAAATCCAGCTTCTCATGGGAATTTCACCTGAAGCTGAGCTAGCTGCCTTGTCTGGAGGTGGATCTGCAGGAGCAGAAATCTCAGAGCCTGAGGCCCCAGGAGCTGAGGCTGTGGGACTAGGAGACTGGGGCGATGGGAGTAACATTCACATACTTATTAAAGGTTATGAAAGTTGAGACCATGACAGTGGAGGCCCCAGGACCAGAGGCCATGGAGCTGGAGAACATGAGTATCAAGCCTAAGGGAGCCGAGGTCACAGGCCTGGAGGCTGTGGGATTGAGGCTAGGGACTGGAGTTCAGAGGATCAGAGGCAACAAGGGCCAGGCACACAGGAGTGGAGGCCACAGGACCAGAGGCCATGGAAGTTGAAGCCGTGCGATGGGCATCCACAGGAGCAAAGGCCAGGGGACCAAATTCCATGGGATTGGGGGCTGCGGGAGGGGGAGGATGTGAGACCAGAGGTCACAGAATGGGAGAGCATGGGGCTGGAGGCTACGGGAGTGGAGGCTATGGGAGCTGAGGCCACGGTACCTCTACCATATGTTTCATATTCTGCAGTATAACCAGCTCTAATTCAAGAGGTTACATTATTTCACTAAAAGCTGTGTAATAATCCTGAGGGGGATTTTGTAGGCAATGCCTTCTAAAAACTCGGGTGCTTATTTCATTCTCTCTCTTTCTTTATGTAATCCACGAGGAGATGTTAGTAAGCTAACGATTTAACTGGCTTATTTATGCTATCACTGGCAGTGAGATGTTTAGATAGTAATTTGGAGTAAATGGTGAAAACACACCTGAGCATTTGCTCTTATATAAAGAAATGAGAAGGATATTTTTATTTAAAAGTCACAAACAAACTCTACGAATTCCTGAATGAGTTTCTCTTGCAAGACAGGAGCATCAGTCTGGAAGTGACAAAGCCAACCCCGGAGTCTGGTTGCAATCCTGTCTGGTTTTGCAGTAGGTGCCCAACATGTCTGAGTCTCCAGCACAGCACGACTGGCTCGAGGAGTATTTATCTTCTCAGCGCCCATTCTGTTAGGGCAGTGATCGTACTTGTTGGGATGCTAAAAGTAAACTTTTCCTGGGGGAGTGAGAGGTAGGATGGGAACTTGTAAAGCTCCCTTGTCCTTTGGAGCTGGGACCTTACTGGATTCCCCCAGCAGTGACACAGAGCAGAGCACCTAAGGAGCTGTTGAAACACCTACAGCTCCAGCACAGCCTCATTCCTCCTTGTCACTAGTCCTGGCTGAGCTTAAGTTTCTGGAAACATAATATTTAGACAAATGTGCGTTGTTCTTTCAGCAGCAGTTTGGCAGCCGCTGCCCTTTCATTAATCATCCACGCGGTGTAGCAGTGACCTGATTTCCCACAGCCGTGGGGTCGGGCTGGGTGTTACGGACAGCGGTACCCTGCAGGCAAAACCAGGGTTGTCAGAGCCCCTGCAGAGGACCTGGCTGGCTGCATGTGCCTGCTGCAAGAAGGAGAGAGTAGGAAGAAAGGAAATGAAGGGTGCTGCCATGGAGGGAGGCAAACAGTTGCTTATAGAAGCTGCTGGTACCTTGTATAGCTTCCTGAGATCCCCACGATGTCAAAGGTAGCCTGTGCAAGTCTCCCACCTAGCCAGGGATGTGTGGCAGCCATAAATGAGAAGTGGGTAAAGCTACAGGGAACTGCTTGTTTCTGAAGGCAGACAGGCTTTAGTCAAAGCAGGGAGGAGACGGGGCAGTACTATGAAACCTTCTAGAGATAACTGGGTGCAGATGCTTTTTTTAATGCAATTCCAGCATTTATTTTTTTATTTATTTTTGGTGGGGCAGGGGAAGGATGCAGATTTTGATTTGGCCTTCTGGCTGCTCTCTCAGTTGTTGTTTTACATGAGAAACAGTCAGAGCAGGAGTCCTTGTTTATACAGACACATGCAGAGGGGCGTTGTATGGGATATGATTGTCACCTACAGGAGGCAGTGGAGATAATCGAGTGCAGAGGCACATGAAAATCAGCTCCCTGTACTGTGGGAATTTTCACTGTTAATGCTGGATCTCACACTGCCAGTGCCTGGGCATGGGTATGTTCCCATGGACAAAAGCTATAGCAGGAGAGCTGCTGTTTCCATCTGGATTTTAGGGGCTCCAGCAGCCAGGTGGGTTGGCCATGCCTGTCCTTGTTCTCTAATGGCTTGGGAGAAAGATGCATTCAGGTGAGACATCTTCTCATACTCATGAGCTTCTCATGCCATTGGGGCAGCTCACAGCCTGCTGCAGGCATTAATCAAGCCCATGTTACTCAGGTACGGATCATGGAGTAAATATTGGGCTGTCTCTGAGTGAAAGGTTCCCCTTTAGATCTAGTGAGGAACATGGTATAGACTCAGTTGGTAAGATCCAGGTGAAAAGCAATAAATGATCATCATGTCATAAATAAAAATTACACATTGAAATGCATGTGATTATATTGACTGTGTACGGAGTTAGATCGAATCACTGCTTGATAAATGGGCTCTGTGTCATTACAGTTTCATGCTGATAAAACTATTCCAATGAGGAGATCCTGGAGTAACAAAAGGGTAAATTAGATGTTATTCCTTAATGCTGAGCTGCCACCGTGCTTTTGGCTTTTCTAAATATTATGGTCTTTAAGGATAAATACATTTCATTTTTGTCACATCTTTAACTAGAGGAACTTTTAGTTTCTCTTATCCCATGATTGTCTGCCATTGTCTAGGATAAAAACACTAAGTAAAGTGCTTATATAAAAGAAAAACTGACTTTACTACCAAAATGCAGGTAGGTGTAATTAGAGAATGTCAGTGTTAAGCTTTAGGTACGGAATAATATTTTTAAAAATCAAGGAACTGTTGTGTTTGTGCATTCCTTCAGTTATTCCTTTTATATCTGAACACTCCCATCTTCTCTGTGCCCTTCAGCTTTATTTGCATGGTGGTTTCGTTAAGCTATCCTGATCAGAAGAAAGCCTTCTCCAGGTAGTTGGCAGAGTGGTGTGGCCAGGCTAGAATGTTTAAAATATTCCTCCCCAAACTGCTGTTATTTCTAATCAATGTCTATTGTGTTCAACTTGTGGTTTCGCATCCTGTTAAGACTGTCTTTGGCATCACGCTTTTCTGAACTGTTTAGCGTGTTTTCTCATTGCTGTTGCTGAAGGTGCATTGTTGGCAGTATGGGAGAGACAATCTTGTTGTGATTTTTTTTATCATCATCTGTCACACGGAGCGATTACTCCAGCTGTACAAATAATGTAGGAAATCGATTTTTTTCCTTTTTTTTTGCATCGGAATTATGCAAGCCCGGCAAATACTCTCAACAATTGCTCCTTAAGTCAGTGAAATTTAAAGCCATTCAGTTTGCTTGTAAGGAGCTCAGGGTCTCTTTGATGATGAGGTTTGTTAAGCCCAAATGTGGAGAACTAATAAAATAATAAAAAGGCTCCAGAGGTGTTTATAGATTCCAATTATCTCTTGCTTTCTCTCCCAGGATTGGGCTAGGCAGGATTGTGCTGCCCTCAAGTAGTACTTGAGTCCGGGCTGCATTTTATGCTGCCTGTCTCCGAGGTTTCTTCTTTGTGGCTGAATCGCCTTAGTGCGGGTAGTGTACAGAGGTGCTAAGGGCTCGCCGAGACAAAGCAGACATGCTTCACAAAGGCAAAGGAGCAAAAGGAAGCAAAATTGAATCTCTAGCACCCAGCTCCTGGGCAAACAGACAAAACTAATGGATCCACTCTCGCTCCTCCCATCCAATTACTGTGATCCAGTAGAGAGAATATGGCAACATCGGTTCACACAAACTCTAATGCTCTTAATCCCTTCCATACATATAAACCTCACATTCACCAACGTGGCTTCATTATCGAGCCACCCAGGCAGACGGAGCGTTGGAATGGACCCACCGGCTGCAAAAACCTGCCTCCTTCAGGTTTTAATCAGCTAATGAGGGATATGCAAATGACGAGCTTATGGGATTACGGCTTGTCTGACAGCAGCCCTCCCCACAGTGATACAGTACTAATACAGGTGTTGGTAAACTGGTTATTAGGCGCTGGCTAATTTAGGGCCATTCATGCTGTGATTGCGCTCGCAGCCCTGCCATTTGTAGCGGTGTTTGTGGCCCAGCAGGAGATCTATTAGTGCTGCGGTGGGTCCCACACGAACTCCTTGCCGCCAGATATGAAGTTAATAAATCCCGTTGGTTTGGGGTTGAGCCATACACAGCAACCCCTGGCTGAAACGGGGATCGCTCCTCCGCCCCGACTGCCTGGGAAATTGCTGTGGGAGGGCAAAGGGGGAGTTTAATTAACAACTGCTTAACATTTATATGGGCTGCTCGCATACTTTTGAATAAAATGTAGAGCGCAGCAATGTGGTTAACCTATATTTTCCCTTGGATATAGCTAGCCAACTGTCTTCTGTGAACCAGCAAGCAGCCTCAAAGTATACAGTGAGAACAAAATACACCACTTCTAGGGATGAGCAGTCTGTCTGGGTTTTTGGCTGCTTCAGTGGTTCACTGCAACATTCTGCTTTTTCATGTTTCTTATTCTGTAGCTTTTCTTTATAAAGATCCTTCGCTGTACAAGGAATTGTGCTTTGCAGTTCATTTACTGTCCGTATCAGTCTTGGCAAAATTTTCCATTGTGGGTGCTATGCCTAAAGCAGAGTGACATCGGTACCATATCAGCTTAGCACAGCACGTGATGTGCACAGTTTGTTGGCTGATAACCCTGCTATTTGTCTGTCTGAAACTCTCTTGAGGATACTCAATTCAGAAACAGCAAATATGTCATACATGTAAATATATGATGCCAAGTCTATTGTGATTTTCAGTATTTGTTCAAAGGACTTTTGTTCAACTCTGCAGTAGAAATTAAGATAGGATTAAAACATAATTTCAAAGATTTCTTCTTAGTGAACAATGAGATGTAGAAGCACAGTTGTGTCCAAGCATGGGAGACCCAGACTATAGTAGAAATCCACAAATGCGTCATTTAGAGTGATGAAGTTAGATAAATAGAAGATGCCTGATGAATGGTAACTTTTGTCTTCTCCATTCATCAGAGGGAAAGATGGATTTAAAAGTAAGTCTTAGTTTCAAGTGTATTTGAGGATTTTGTCAAAAAGATGTGATGCTCTGGGGCTTTGTTTTGATTACAATAGCGTCTCCAATTACTTTTTGCTTAATTGAAATATTGCTTAAAACTCAGGGACCTCAATAGGCCTGTTGAGCTGTCCTCGGAGAAGCTGGATATTCAGGTAGCCTTAAGTGAGTTAAAAGCTTTGAGTTCATCTTCACAACTTCTGAACTGGAATTGTTGTCATTATATGTGGGGAGCCTGAGACAAAGGTTTAAAGGGTAAAGTGTTCAAAAGTGGGCCCACAAATGTAAATACTCAAAGCCTCTTAGATTTAATGCATACATAGCTGCTGTTCATCTGTTTGTTCTGACTGCCCCTACCTAAATGTATATCTTTAGAAGAAAGTTCTGCATCCGAACCCTTTGTGTCCCTTTCTACATTAAGATGTTTGAAAATCAAGCAGACTATATTTGTGCGTTTTGGACAAATGACAGATCCATCTCTAGAGAAGCCAAGGATTTTGAATTAAATGAGGCTGGCTTGTCTGCTTATATGGCATTTATTGGAGTCGTCTTGATCTCCTAACCTGTAAGCAGTAATGACTGACTAAGAAAAGATCCCCTCAGCAGGCTGCTGAGGATATACAAGCGTGGTAGGTTCCTGTGCTTGCACGCACACTCCTAAATACAGAGGAAACACAACAAGGAGTCTCCCATAGCTTCCAGCCCAGGGAGTCCTGCCAGTGCAGCTGGCAGAGTGTTCCTGTGCTGTTTGTGGGTGATCAAGGCATGGTGGCCTATTTATCATTATGCTTTTATAGCTGTGTGTTATTGCTTGGAATATAGAGAGGATGAGGAAAGCTTATCTAGTTCGGACCTATTCAGAATCCAGTATCCACTGTCCTTGACTGTTCACAAAGGACACGAATCACCAGAAAGATTAAAGAGGTCTTTAGAAAAGGATATTTTCCTTGTAATGGGTATTTCAGTGGCACAACTATCTCTCTGAATGTTGCTAACTCTGTTTTACTTGAGAGCGTAGATGGTGAAAGATGCTGAACTCGTGAAATGCAATGGAGTTGAAGGAATGCAGAAGGCATGGCAGAAAAAAAGCCTACTTGTGCTTTGACAGATCAGACCAGAGGTATTGTGGAAACTTTACTGATAAGCATTGACAATCCTGCGAAATTGGTGATAGTTGCTATAAGCAGGAGCAAAATACTTGTTTCTAGGAGTGCTGAGGTCCACAATTAAGGTGTTGTGTACATGGTGCAAAGCAGCCCTTCAGGCTTCCTCCACAGCCAGGTTCCTCAGATCATCTTCTTGACTCAACAGACAATGATTGCTTGCGCTAAATAAATTAGCGGTCATAATTTGCAAACAAAATCAGTACTGGTACCAGTCAGCTTTGCATGCCAGAGGAGTAATTTTTAAGAGACTGGAGGAGAAGGGATGTGTGTACTTCAGCTTCTGTCCAGGCACTCCTGTCAGCCTAGCAGTGGTTCAGTTTACCCGGTAATGTTCATTTGTCTTGGGGAAGTGAACCCTTCCAATGGCAAGTGTCCTTGATTTACAGCTATGGTGTCACCGTAGGACTGGTGATACTGCTACTTCACAAATTCTGCACAAATTGTGCAATTGCAAACACCCTTTGAGCTCTACGTCTTGGGCTCTAAGACAGAAACAGCACAATGGTAGTGCCAGGGTTCACAGCAGTCTTAGTGTATACAGCAACCTCTTTGAGATTGCAGGAAAATGCTTTTTTCAGCTTGTCTTTTTGACTTTTGCTTTAGATAACAGTTCTCGTCTTGGTCACCCTCAACATAATATTTTTTGCCAGTACTAGTTAGGGGTAGGTGAATGCTGTGTTTGTTTCCAGGGTTCAGTAGTTGTTGGTGTCTATTTATCACCACATTATTTCTGTTTGCAAAGGGAATTCTCCACCTGACTGATGACTTCCTAGCTCCACTGAAGTCAACAGCAAAACTTCCAGCAAGTTCAGCAGGGGCACGATTTCACTCATGCATTCAACAGAGTGGTTGGAAATGCAGTTAAAGAGAAGGTGAGACCAAAATATACTGATGGTATCTTCTAATATGAAGTGCCAGAGCAAAGCTGTAACTCTGCATCATATGTAGAGGTCTCACAGCTTCTTTCAGCAGCTTCACTATTGCAACCCAGGCACAAGATAACTGATGTCGGACTCTTTTTCTTATTAAAAGAGAGTTTAATATGGTGTGGTAGAGCTATAAATGCCTTTTTTTTTTTAAAATGTTGCCTTATCTGCCTGCAGCAGTGACATTCTGTTTGTTTGTTCTAGATATTTGGTTTGCGTTACATAAAAACGTAATGGCATCTGTCCATGCTATATGGGTTGCGTTTTGCTGCATGCCTGAATCAGGACTATACCTAACTTTGCACCTTTCCCCATGAACTGACTCTATTATCTGAAAGATGAGTTGTCAGATAAAGTTTGTTCCCTGTCCCAGGGAAAGTCAATACAGCTTCTTAGGCACTTCTCAATTCTAAATTATTAGTAACTTCTTTCTTTTTTTTTCTTTCCTTTTTTTTTTTTTTTAAATTTTTAAGACATTGGTTTTCACTGCTAAATGGGAACACCAAAAAAAAAATTGAAAAAGAAAAAAGGACTATAAAAGTTGTTCAAAGCATTGTTTGCAGTTGGAAAAAAGATGTGAGAAAGTTGCATGCAAAAGTTACCTTCAGAAAATCCTGAGGTCAAATAGCCTTAATGCTACTTCTTGTGTATCTTTGCAGGGAGAATTTTAAGCGGATTCCTCCTGCATGGCAGTACATAGGGTTAAAGGTTAACAACTGACCAATTCCTCAGACAAGGTGTTATTCAAAATCAGGTACTTAAGACATTTGCTAGAGGACTTAGCCATTATAGTTGTTTGGAATCAGTGCATTTTCCTGCAGGGAAAGTATTTAGGGGAACAAAAAGGACGTAGAGATGTGGAATTCCAGAAAGCCTGTCACCACATAAACTAAAAACCACCATTAGGAGCTGAGTTTTCTTTACAAAAATCTGACAGGATCCAAATAGCTTGTGTGGAAATCGTGGTCACTAGAGGACAGGAGAGCTTTCTCTGCAAATAGTTTAGCCTGGCTCTGTTTAAGCTCTGTTTTCAGTGTGCACGAGTTCTCTTTTCCCATGTTGCTTTCCTTTGATGTAGTTATGCATCGATGAGATGCTGAGTTTGTAAAGCTAGAATAACTTTACAGTCAGATGTCAGTCAAAAGAAAAAGCTTGTTGGAGGCTTCTGGTCCTGCAGTGTTTGAAGCAGTACCTCATATGGGAATGGAGATAAACTGGGGGAATCCTGAAGTAATAAAATTTGTCCAGGTCATATTGTCCTGTTTTGAAGAAGAGTCTGTAAAGTGGGTGGCCAGAAAATACTTGCATCGTTTAGCTGGTGAGTTCAGTTGTTAGATCTCCTTTCTGGTATGGGTTGCAAGGTTTCTCTTCTGATCTTGTGGTCCTGATCTTCTCGTTCTTGAAGAGGTTGGCCATTGCAGACAGCATGGCGCTGCCTTCTTTGCTGGCTATGTAAATGTGCGCAGTAGGCACATTGGGGCAGGGTTTAGGGATGAAATGATAGGCACTTGGAAGTAGTAGCACAGCTTTGAAGTAGTAGCAAAGTTCTCAGGACTAAAACCTTGTGTATGTGTGAGGGTGAGCATTTTGGAGTCCAGTAAAATGTTTACAGTAGTACTGCTGCTGTTGTGTTAGGGACTCCTGTGTTCATTCCACTTTGTGCTAAGTCACTACTTTGATTTAGGGAGACAGACACCAGCCGTGCTACTGCTTGCTTTTAGGTACAAGACAACTGCGAGTTAAAAGCATCATGTTTGTGAGGAAGAAAAGTAAGTGTTACATTTAGATGTCTTGGGACAAGAACTAAAGCTAGATAGTTCTCAAGCGTGCCTGTGTGTTGTATTGCTGAATTCATAGTTAAATGGGTCCCTTAATGTGCTTGCTTAACATATTTTCATACTTGGACGAATTTTGAAACTCCAGTCAAGTCAGTTGTGTCTCTAAATAGAGTATAAGAAGATCTCAGTTCAAGTGTAATTCCAAGACTAACCAAAGATAACTTTGTGTAGCTTTCAAAATTTTTTATTATTTTTTTTGTCTCAGACTCTTGTCACAATGGTAATAAAATTTTCAATACACATTTCAGTGAGACTTTTTAAATCTCCTTATCTCTTCCGATGGCAGGTGTGGAAAAATGAATAGAAGCCAGCCTTGGATGTGACTGCTGGGAGCTGCTGTTGTTCCACTGGGCAGTAACTGACAGTCGATATTCATTAACTGATGCATGATATCCATTAAAAAAAAAAACAACAATAATAATAATATGAAAACCCTAGAACAATTGTTTGCAAAATACTTACTTTGGGGAGCACTAGTAATAATATTTAGCTTCAGTTTGCTCTAAAATCCTTAGTAGAAACAGGACATTCAGACAAAGAAACAAAGATAGGGATACAGCTTAGCCCATGTCATATATATAGAAAAGCAGTGCTGGCACCAGATACAATAGGTTGGCTTTTATAGTGTGTAACTTACTCCTTGTCTAAACAGTTACTAACAGAGTTGAATGAGATCAGTGTACCCCATCTTCGCAAACACAGCAGAAGAATTAGTGGGAATGTGTGTAGAGCAAAGATAAAAAGAAACTTCATCTATTAAGTGCTAATTCTTTCAATCTATGAAGTAGGACCTGGATCTCCCAGCTCCCCAAACTTGGACTCTACCATATAAAATCGTTTTATTTTTTTCTGTTATTATGATCTGGAACTTAGTTGAGATTTGTCTTGCTTTCTTATTGCTGAAGAATGGTCATCTAGAGCACTAGTAGTTAAAATATTTTAAAATTGCTTTTTACCCCCTGAGTTATGAAGATGATGTGAAGGGAATTGTGACCTATAGTATAGCTGGACAAGATCAGCAGACAGGTTAAGCAGAGTCATTTAACGTAGCTAAGGCTAGAAGAGGCCATCTCAGGTGGTGGGTGGATGCTCCTGAGTTGATGGGTTTGCTGTTGACTTCAAGGCCTTGTCTATGTATGTGAGATAGTTTTTCTCAAGTATTTTTACTCCACCCTGACCAGATTTTTAGATCAGAGGGGCAGTGCAACAATGATGCCATTCTCCTAGAGGAAAACTAAAGGATGCTGTAGTGAGACATCTGCACGTAGCACACCCTGTGCTGCCCTGTGCCCGTCCTGCAGCATTCCCACAGCCGTCAGGGACAGGAGCTCTGTGCCAGCTGAGGCTGGTCTTGCAGCAGTGGTACGTGTGAATGGGGCGTAAGGGTTATCACTCATGTTGTCGTGAGGAGCATCTGGAAGGAGGAATTCTCCAGGAAGGTGTTGCTTGTTCTGAGACAGGAGCACTGGAGGTAGGCTGCCTGCAGAGGGTTTGCAGGGTGAGTTGCTCACGTAGATGTGCTGCCCCTGCTTCCCTGCTACCTCCCCTAGCTAGCGGGGTTAGAGCTGAACTGGCATAGTGAAGACATGAGACTTTCCAAAGAAATATAATTGAAGCAGTGCCCCAGGAGCAATGTGTTTGTGGGCTATTGAAGAGCTCACTCTAGGGAAAGTCATGGTTGCAGGCCTTTATTTGTACGGCAGTTGGTTTACTTCTCCTAAGACTGTTGTTGAGCTGGAGAGTGTGGTTGGAGAAAGGTGAGCTGAAACTGGATTTGCAGAGAGCCCAACGCCTCCTGTTGCCAGGGAGAAGAGAGCTAATATGCATCCTCTGCCAGCATTAATGTTTGCTTAGATTATTTGGACATGTATCATATAAGTATCTGCTCCACTGACAAAACAGATGCCATCCCAGATGAATTGTTCTTTGGTTGTTCCTTCAAGTAAAGCTATTTCTTCTGTATATTTGTGATGACAAATAGGCAAGACACAAACAATTTTGTATGTCCAGAACACAAACTAATGAAAAGTAAGAATTATGTCACTTCGCAGCTGAGGGAGGTTTAGATATTGCTTCAGCACAAGTCTCCAGGGTGTTAACTAGTATGAATGTCATCCTAGGTTTAACTTTCCTTTAGATGATTCATGGTGCTAGTCATATATTAATGTTCCAAAAGTGACATGAGGAAAAACTACGTGCCTTACCAATGCTGTCCGGCATTGTGCTCTGACCTTGTTAGAATGTCTGTTTGCTGGTATAAGGCGCAGAACTTGGCCTTCTCTCTCGCTCCGTTATTTCAATCAAGACAACAAGCAATAAGCTCTATGCCCACGTGCAGGGATGAATTTAGGCATTTACAGTTGTTTGAGCACAGAGCTGTGGAGACGACACATCCAGCCCAAACTTCAAAGCTGTGCAGATGGGTAACCCTGTTCGACACCCAGGTCCTTCTGTATTTTCTTCTGACCTCCCACTGATGTTTTCAAGTGCTTAAGTACCTTGAAAAATTATGTAGGAGATCACATATTCCTGGTCCTAGTCTCATCATAGTCACTGGTTTCAAAAGACTGGTTGTGCAAAGAAATCGGAGACATCCTTGGTTAAGGTGGGACCAAACCCTGCAACGGTTGGGCCAGGTACCGACTGTCTGCAGCCTGAGCACACCACACCATTTGCTGGTGCCTGTGCGAGTCCAATACAGCACTGAGCATACTGTCCTTGCCCAGAAAATGAAAGGGAGCATTTCCACTTGTGCTTGTTATCAACACAATAAGAAAACATTTCTTTGAGGCCACCGTGAGAGAGTGGTGGTGGCTAGGTGTTAATTTTGCAGTCTATTAAGAGCAGTGGAATTAATAAAGCCAGGTGAGTTTCCACCGTTTGGGTCTTGCAGGTATTTTGTCTGCTTTCTCTGTTGTTCTTCCACATTATTAGGGGTATTTAAACAGGTTGGTGATTTTTTTCCCTCCTGCAGCTCCCCTGCTCCCTGCCAGAGGAGCTAAAATTATGTATTCTCTCCTGCTTTCTAAGAAGATTACCGAGCCAGCTGACCCAAACAGCAGTGGCACCAATTAGACATCATTCAAAATTAATAACCACTATGATGATAACATAAAAAGATTGATTCTTCTGATGTGAGAATCATTTTAATTAATTTAATCCATGTTGAAAGATCAGCTGTGCCCAGTCCTGCTCACCAGTGGGGCCCATTTGTCCCTGTCTGTCCCCGTCACCTAAAGCCAGTGAATATGATCAGTAGCCAGCACTTAGGGAACAATAAGAAACAGATTGTACTGTCAGGCTTCATTAAAGATCATCATTAGTATTCCAATTTGGAAACAGTCAATCTATCCCGACCTTTTACCAATTCTTTTCGGCTGCTTTTGTGAAGTTTGGTTCAGCTGCTAAATGTAAAAACGCTGCGCAGGCTTTTTTTTCGAGAGCAGGCTGGCTCTGGCTGATGCCTGTCAGGCTGCAGCTTAAGGACAAAGCTCGGGGGAAATACACGTTATGCAACCGCGCTCCAAATGATATCATGTGCAGCTGCTTATGATTTGAGTATTTATGGGCAATGAAACTTTCTTAAACTGAAGCTTAACAATGATGAATGGAAATGAAATTGATATGGCACTTTCTTTCATCCCGCTGCTGAGCGCGTGGGTCACAAGGGTGTTTGTGCAGGGCTGGCTTTCTGGCTGTGCTCGCCGCTCCTCTCCCGAGCGGGCTGCAGAGGGCATTTCGAGCATGTTGATGAGGGAGAGGGAATTCTAGATTTGTTTGCAGTTCACTTTATCTTTTTTGCGAAGGTCACTGTCGCTTTGTTTGTTTGCTCTCGATTCTGATGACTGGAAATAGTTATGGACAAATGGATTATAGGATTTCAAATATATTTCTGTATGACCATCCCTTTATCTCGGCCGTACCAACTGGCTGCACGTATTATATGTATCTTGGATTTTAGTCTTCAAAACACTTTGTCTGCCAGGCAATGATCTCATTACTTCAATATTCTTGACATTTATTATTTGCTAACCTTCACAGTTGTCCAACCAGCTTCCTGAAGATGGTGGGAGGGCATGGCTGTTTCAGGAACGTTTTGCCTGAAATACCAAAAGAAAACAGTCCTGTCATTTTGAATAATATCTTGCATACTTTTTGAAAGAGTCTCCATGCTTTTTTCTTTCCTTTTTCTTTATTTTTTTTTCTTGTTCTTTCCTGAAATGTTCCTATGTGTCAGGAGTGATTTCGCTAAGATTATGAATGAAAGAAAAAGTAGGCCAGTACAATAGGGGAGGAATGAAAGATTACTTTTCACATTTCATTAAAAAAATAAAAAGCAATAGTTCTTTCTCCAAGTTTGATTAACAATTACAAATATTATTATGATTAGTGTAACAGAATGACAAGAAGCTAAAAAAAAAGTTGGAGTCAATGTAGCCTCTGTAAAAGCTCTCATAGTTTTCTGGAGTTTAGTACTCTTATTTTTTGAATGTTTTATACAGCTCAGCATCATACTTGGATCAATTACTTCAAATAGCTTGTTGCTCGTTACATCATCATGAAGACTTTGGCTATTTAATTCCCCAAATAAGTGGGTCTTTCTCTACCAAAAGGGGAAAAATAAAAGTTGCAGTAAAAGTCTGTTGAAGGTTAAAAGAAGCTACTTAGGAATGATGATCTAGCCTGAAATATAGTTCAGCCACCCTGCCATCTTTAAAGTTTTCCAAAAACAACTAAATAAGTTAAAACATTTTCTCCCCACAGTCAACTATATAAATATGGAAGGAAAAAAAAATCTTACTTCAGGCTGCTCGGGGAACTAGTCAGCAAGGTCCCCTGGGAAGCTGCTCTTGAAGGCCTTGATGTCCACCAGTGCTGGTCACTCTTTAAGCGATGCCTCCTAGAAGCACAAGATCAGGCCATTCCTAAATATCGCAAGTCAGGCAGGCGGGGCAGGAGGCCGTCGTGGCTGACCAGGAACATTCTTATGGAGATTAGGCGGAAACAGAGAGTGTTTCGCTACTGGAAGGAGGGCCGGGTGACATGGAAAGAATACAGGGATGCTGCTCGTGTCTGTAGGAAGAAAATTCGTGTGGCTAAAGCACACCTAGAGTTGAAGCTGGCTGTGTCTGTGAGAGAAAATAAAAAGGGTTTTTTTAGATATGTGAATGGAAAAAGGAGAACTAAAGAATACGTAGGGCCGCTCCTTGACAGGGAAGGTCTTCTCACAGACGATGACATAGGCAAAGCAGAGACGCTTAACGCCTTCTTTGCCTCTGTCTTCAATGCCGATGATGGGCTTCGGGACCCAGGGTGCCCCGAGCTGCAGGACCGGGACGGTGGGGATGACAAACTCCCGACCGACCCTGAACGTGTGCGGGATCTGCTACTCCACCTGGATCCTACAAGTCCATGGGTCCGGATGGGATTCA